TTGGAAGAACAGTAAGTGCTCCTAACTGTTAGCCCCTAATTTATTGTTAAGGTAAGAAGTACAGAAGAGTGTGGATAACTAAAAGGCAGAATTTCCTTTATACCTTATGCTTAGTGTTCAGGCTCTATTCTGATGCAAGGAAATAGGGTTTCTGTTGTATTCAAGTGAGAGGAGGACAGTAAAAGTGGAAGGAGCCGTTCCTGTTAGTGTAGGAAGATAACTAGTGCAGGCTAAAGAGATGAAGTGGTAGCAGGTATGTTGAGAGTTAGAGGGATGAGCCTTGAGGACGCTAGGTAAGTATCCTACCTCAGCTCCATCCAGAGCACCTCTTCCTTCAGTTTGAATTTCTTTAGCCGCTGTTACAATGATGTATTGGAAGGTAATTTGTAGCCTTTTGTTTCTGTAAGACTAATGTTGCAATCAACGACCATGTACACATATATATGCAAATATTTTAGTAGATAAAATTCATAGAAAGAAAAATTTTATTCTGATTGTTGAATTTTTATATTCTACCATCCACTCCAACTTTTAGATATTATTTGCCAATGGATATAAAATTATATCTTATTTTAATTTGTATTAAACTGTTTCCCAATAAAGTTGAACATATATACTGGAATTTTATATTTCTGCTAAAAATTACTCATAAAATTTTGTTCATTTTATCCTTAGAGAGAATTTTAAAATTTCTTTATGATTCTCTTACTAACTTTGTTATAATTTGTGGTATTTTTACCTACCTTTTCAAGTTTCTTATTTTGTAGCATTTTTTATATTTATTTTTATGCTGTCAAAACTTTCCCAGTGTTCTCATGTGTCTTTCTCAAAGTCTTCTTACCAACAGTATCAGAGCACTTTAGTTTCTTATTTTTCTTCTATAATGCAATTTTATTTATGTCTCTAATTGATTTTAATTCATCTGAATTTTCTTTTAATAATCATGGTAAGGGCCTAGTTAATTTTTCCAGCTTCATAATATTTCTCCGAGAATAAATTATTGAGTGATACATTCTTTTCTCCCACTAACATGAAAATCACCTTGATCATATTTTAAGTCCCAATACATGTGCTCTGGATTCAGTATTCTACAGTTTTGATTATTTTCATTTCATATTATATTTGACAGCTGATAGGGCACCCCTCCCCATTGTCTTTTTCCAAAAAATTTTTGGGCAATTTTTGTGTATTTTCTCTTCCAGATGAACTTTAGAGTCAACATGTCAAGTTCCATTAAAAATCCCTTTGGGATTTTGATTGGAAGTGCATTGAATTTACAGATTAATTTGGGGAGAATTGACATCTTTACACTATTGAGTCTTCCCACCCAGGACCATGGTATGCCTCTCCATTTCTCTAGGTGTTCTTTTATGTCTACGGTACAGTTTGATAGATTCTTTAAAATTTATTTTCGTAGGCCTTACACATTTTTTTGTTAGGTATTTTTCTGAGTATCTTTAGCTTTTGTTGTTACTGTGAATAGCATCTTTACAAAAATATTTTCTAATAAGCTGTTGCTGTTGTGTAGGAAGGCTGTTAATTTTTTTATGTATATTTTGGTCTTGCCATTTATTTAGTTTTTTCTGATTCTGTTAAAATTCTGGAAGAATAATGTTTTCTGTAAATTGTGTTTTTCCTTTTTTCAGTAATTGTGCTTAACAGTATTTTGTTACATTTTCTGGTCTTAACTATTGGGTAGGTTTTTCAGAACTGCCGCTGTTCTTTCTTATTCGAGTGTCTTGTTCTTGATTTAAATTAAATGTTTTTCATTTTAAGGTTATGTATGTTCTACATTTTTATTATAAAAGAAAGCAAATTACTTTTCTGACTTAACGGGTACTTTTTATGGTCGGGGATATTTTTTCTTTTTTATGAGAAAGTCTCATCATGTAGTCTGGGCACCAATCTCTGCCTCCTTAGTCCTGGGATTAAAAGTGTGCCACCATGCCCAGCAGTAGATACTTAATTTAACCATACAGTTTGTTGATGATTCATGTTTTTTTACCTGTAATATTTAATGTGATGCATTATATGTTTACAGTTGTTGATCATAATTTAGTTTATTTTAAATACTCTTTCAAGGAAATATTTAGGTAGATATATTCATAGCCAGAAACTCTGCTGTGAGTTAGCAGTAGTACACTTACACCATAGTGTCAGTTTGTGTGAGTCTGCAGAAGTTTCCTGTCTTCTGTGGAGAAAAGAAACAATAAGCAAGGAGGAGAGAAGGTGGTGATTTCCAACTGTGACTGTATTAAGAGTTGGGGTGGTATGGTAGGGAGCAGAGGAGAGCACACCCTTGTGTGATCATTGAAGGAAATGTAATACGAGCTAGGACCTGAAGAATGCAAGTTCAGGAAGAAGCAGTCCACACTTGAAGAAAACAAAAAGTCAGTGCTTCCATAGAATTTTTTTTAATCTTTCTTCTTATAAATCCCCTTTTCTCTTTGTACCACTAACATAATTTGTCAGTATATTTGATTTATTTAGATGTTAAGAGTAGCTCTAACTTTTTTTTTCCTTTTATTTTATTTTACAATACCATTCAGTTCTACATATCAGCCACGGATTCCCTTGTTCCCCCCGCTCCTGCCCCTCTTCCCTTCCTCCCAGCCCACCCCCCATTCCCACCTCCTCCAGGGCAAAGCCTCTAACCTTTTCTGTAAGGAAGAAAATATGATCAAATCCTGTAGGAAATAATGTCCTTTTTTAGATTTTTATTTCCTCTATTATTTAATAGTGAATTTTTTAAATTCCAAGTAGATTATCTACTATTAATATTTAATATCCCATTTTTTTCAGCACCAAGAACATAGCCTCGTATATATAAATTACAAATTCATCTCTTTGAAATTCGTTGTTTTCTTCCTAATGTATGGTCAGATGTTTAATTTTAAAAAATTTTTCTCTGCCATCTATTTTTCCTTAAATATTATAGTAATTTTATTTCTGACTCTTGTCATTGCATAGTATGCATATTCATCATTTTCTTAGAGAAGCATATGGAAATTTTCTCATTGGGTTGATTTTTTTTTTTTTTAAGCTCCATATTCTTTAGTAGGTTTGTTGTATGTTTATGGTTGACCTACCTTGGATGTGTCCGCTGCTCTCCAGCATTACAAAGTATTCTTTCTGTGTAATATTTTTTGTCTTAGATTATTTTCTAGCTGATAAAAATAACCGTTGGTTGTGGTTGCCTTTTCATTCCTCTATTTCCAATCTTTTTTCTTTAAACATTTTTTTATTATCTATAGTTGTGCGTGTGTGTATGTGTGTGTATGTGCATGCATGCACACATCTTTATATGTATATGCACAGTGAATACAGGTGCTGGCAGGGGCCTTGGATCCCTTAGACCTTCAGTTACAGGCATAGTAAACCACCCAATGTGTATGGTGGGAACTGAACTCCAGTCCTCTGGATTCTTAACTGCTGAGCCCTTATATCCAACTCCTTTGTGGCTTTAAATAATAATTAGCTGTCTCTTTCAACAAAAACATATAATTGACTTTTTCTTTTCTTATTTCTTTAAAAACTTCCTAATATTGCCCCAGTTGATTTTATTACTTTTCTGATTTCTCATTTCTTTCTTGTCTTTCACTGAGTTTGCTGTTTTCTTTTTCCTTCTCATATTCCACTTCTTATATCAGCATTAAATTGAGTCAACCAGCAGTTGCAAAGACGATACTCTTCCCCTAGAATGAGCTTTTGATATTGTTTTACTTTGGCCTTGACTTACATTTTTTAAATAATCAGAAATTTTAGAGATACTTGTGTGATAGCACACTATTCTAACTTGAAGGAATTGTTTGTTACCAGTTATGTAACATATTAAACATATGCTGTGTTTCACTGGTTTTTGTACTATCTTTTTGTTCCTGTCGTTCCAAGGATGTGCCCTTCTTGGATTTGTGTATCTTCTTAAACAAATATGTGTGTTTTATATGGTAATTCTAAAGTAAAAATACTTTTAATTATTGATTGCACAGTTTTCTTAAAGTATCTAGTGTTTTATCTAAGAAATCCAGTATGTCTGATTTTAACGTTTTTTTAGCAAGTCCGTCATGAACATCAAACCCCACCCCCATTGTCTTTGTACATTTATAGCCCCAGGACTCTAAGATTACAGCAGTTTCATGATGGATTTGGTAATGGCATGCATCCGTGTGTGTGTGTGTGTGTGTGTGTGTGTGTGTGTGTGTGTGTTTTAAATGGTAAGTATGTCATGGAAAAATCTATTTGTAAATTCTAGACCATAAAAAAAACTTTATCTTATTTTAAATATAATTAGTTCACATAATTTATAAAGGTTATAGTTAAGTACAATTTAAGGCTAGATCATATTAGTGGTTTTTAATCTGAGTTGTGGACAGATGAGCACCTTGAAGCTTAAAAATAGAAGTCATGTTTTGTGTGTGTTCTATCAAAAAGGCTGTGTTAATTCTATTACTGATTAGTGGATCTTTTGAAATCTAAATTATTTTAATTATGTTCACTTTCATTTTGCTAACTTATATCTCCATACTATGAGTCATACCAATAATAATTAGCTTCTAAAAATTTTTTTTTTTGAAATCTACCACCTTTTTTTTTTTTTCTTTTAAATAGTGTGTGTATGTATGTATGTGGTGGGGGTATGCCTATAGAAGCCAGGGGCATTCTGGATTTTTTGGACCTGAAGTTATAGGTGGTTGTGAACTGCAAATAGTGGGATGTAGAGAACTGATTTTGGGTCCCCTGGAAGAACAGTCTGTGCTTTTAGTTGCTCAGTCAGATCTGTAGCTCCAGTGTGTTTCTCTCACTGGTCCTCAGGATTTGTTTGTTTTGCTTTTTATGAGATACATTTGCGCTGAGAGTTAATGGTGTTAACCAGTTCTTTGAATATCAGGCCTGGTAGTATAACAAAGACTTAGGAATCCACAGCTGGTTTCTGGAATCTAAGACTTTTAAGTAGTATACACACATACTCCGAAGTGTTTGAGATGTGAGGCTGGGCCATGTCTATCCACCATACACTGTGACTGTTGTCAGTAAGACCCATCACCAAAGAACCTATACTCAGACCTTAAAAATGTTAGCATTTAATAAACCTCCCTGTGTGGCTTCAAGCCACCAGGATACAGGCATCTCCAACATCCAACATCCTTGATTTTCTTCTCAGCCCTTATACTGATGAATTTGGCTTTTGCAGTGATAGGCTGCTTGGGGAGAGCCTTCCCCTCCCCAGAACTTTGTAGTAGCCCTTAGTCCCACGTCAGTAGTGGGAACAGTTCCAGTCTTGTTTTTTACAGCATGTACTTGAGTCCCTTTCCTGGTCACTGTCCACAGTTTGGGAAGGTTGGCAGTTGGGCAGAAGTTCTGGCTCCTAAGGTAAATCCTCATACCAATTTTGCCAGAGTAACCTGCATGATGGTTGCTGAAGTTGATCCAGTGGTGATCCGTGCCTTCAGGATCCCCATCATCCCAGGTGCTGTGGTGCTTTTCTTGGTTGCTCTGGCAGCCTTGGCTTATGCAGCGGTGGCTCATGAGGCCTTGGGGTTTGCAGGTCTTCCTCTGTCTGGATGGCATGGTGAAAGGAAAGAGAGCACCTCTTTAAAAGAAGAAGGGGGTTGGGGGGCACACGTGTGCATGTGCTTGCTCACATGGGTGTAATGTATGTGGGACACTAGTGTTCCGCCATGTATTTGGAAGTCAGAAGGCACATTTGTGCAGATGTTTTTCTTCTCCCTTTATGGGTTCTGGGGGTTGAACTCAAGTTGTCAGATTCATTCTTCAATTTTATATCTACCATTTCATGCTGATTTTTAGTATCTTTTACTTGCAGAAGACATTTTCTTGATGATAAATTCTATCAGTATTCAAAAACATGTTGTCTTAAATTATGTTTATTTACCCTGGCATTTGAATATCACTAGATAGGGAAATATGAACTTAGAGAATTCAGTTCATGATCACAGCTTCAAATAACTGGAGCACTTATGTTTTGTAGGTATTATATAAATATATAGTCATTAGAGGTTCTATATATGTAAATATACCACTTTTCCATTGAAATTATCAAATTGATTGTAAGAATCAAATACTGATACTACTAAAAGTAAGATTCATAAAAATAAAAAAGATCATAGACATTTATATGGAGGGATTAAGTGTGACTAACTTTAAATTGCAGAGACCTTACTGTTGTGGAGCATATATGGAATCATTTGTTGTTCTATAGGACCTTTGTAGCTGGGTATGGTGGCGGCAGGATATACCTGTAGCCTCAGTGCAGAGGAGCTAGAGGCCAGAGCATCATCCTTAGCCAGATAGAGGTCTAGACCAACCTGGGTTACAAGATCCTCAAAACCCAGCCAAAGGAAGGAAACTTAAATGGACTTTTTGTCACACTGTAAGTGCAGGTGTTTGCTCTGGTAGATGGCAGGATAGTGTACAGAAGAACAGAAACAGCCATCGTTTGTGGCTGTGGTGACAGAATGTTGAACTCCAGGGAGGCCCGTCTTAAATATGCTGTACTCATAGTCTGAGCTTCCCTTCTGGCAGAACCTTACATTGTTTGTATTGGGTATACTGAAATAAATTCTATAGGTTTCATCTTTGAAGCCACATGTATCCAAAACAACTTTTTGCATGGGCTCTTAATTATGTTTCTGAAACACTTTGCCTAAAGGAATCCTTTCAGTAGGTTTTATAAATGGTGAAAATTTCAGAACTGTACTAACGTGCCCTATTCCTTAAGCATTGCTCTTTTTTACTATACTTATAGAGAACTGTCTTCTTTCTGCATATCATCACTATCACTGTCTTCCTGTTTAGTGTTCTTTTTGTTTTTCAAATATATTTGATACTTGTTTGCACTTAGCAATGTCTTTCTAGATTGTATATTGATGGATGGCAATGATCATAATAATCATTTTTGTGTTTCTGTTGCTAATAGCTAGTTAGCTACTTTGCACACAAGGTATAAAGATGTTTCTTTAGTGGATTTGGTATATTATGATGGCCAGTAAATCAAAGTACACTATTTCCTTATCCTTTGGATTTAGCTATGAGGTTAATGACTATATTTTGAGAAAAAATGTTCATTTAAATTGCTGATGTTCACAGCTGGTCTAAATTGTTTTGTAGTTTCAAATTGCCAAAAAACTTCCTGTCTTTCTGTTTTGAGTATAGAACGATTTGGAAATATCGCTACTGGTATAAACATGTATTTGGATTTTACCATTATAAAAAGACCTTGGCTTTTATTTAAGTGTATCTGTTATATTTTTTTTTTTATTGAGGAGAATGTGATAAAATTATTTTACTTTGTAATATAAACATTATTACTGAATATAGGTAATATTTGCTTTAAAAAGACAAAGCAAAACTGAATCAGTCTGCAGTGAAGCCACTACAAAGCTAAGACATTAACAAACATACAAAGAGACCAGTCCAAAAATTGCTTTATATATGTTGTTCAGAATTTCCTAGAGCCGGAGACATGGCTTATTTGGTGGAGTGCACGCTTTGCATGCGTAAAGCTCTGGATTTGATCCTCAGTATTGCATAAAACTGGGCTTGGTGATGCACATATGTAATTTGGCACTTAGGCGGTAGATATAGGAGTATCCAAAGTTCAAGATACTCTTGGCTGCATAGTGAGTTTGAGGCCATGCAGAGATACATGAGACTATCTCAGAAAAGCAAAGTGTATTTTCTTACATAGCCAAACTATTGCCTTTATGCTTCCAAATACCCAGTATATAGTCCTATTTCTTTTTGTCTCAAATGCCCTCTTTCCCCCGTTGGCTTGCTTAAGCCAGGTTTCAGATAGGATCTGTATTATGATTTATTGTTGCTCAAGTCTTGTTAACTTGGAACAGTTCTTTGATCTTTGCTGCTATTCTGCTTAGTCGGAGAAATGGTTTTACTGTAAACTGTTTCACATTTTAGATTTGTATGTTTGCTTCTGCTTAACTCAGAGCTTCTCAACTTCCTTCCCATGTGAGTTTTTTGTTTTGTTTTGTTTGTTTTTTGTTTTGTTTTGTTTTTAAGGGGTTGTGGACATTGAGAAGGGAGTTTTTCTTTACTCTTCCAAGGAGACGTTTGACTGTGTCTGGGTATGTTCTTGGTTGTCAAACGAGAAAGGGTTATTTATTTCATCCAGAATGCCTCTAGTGCCTAGGTTAAGAAAAAAGATTCATCTTCTGATTTGCCTTATTACTGTTTTCAAAACTGAGTTATTTCTAAAGGCCTATTAGATTATTATTTATTGGGAATGGGGTAGTGTCAAGAACACCTCATAGGAGGGCTAGTGAGATGACTTGGTGGATGAAAGGCATTTGCAACCAAGCCTAATGACCTGAGTTTGAGCCCAGGAACCCAGATGATAGAAAGAGACAACTGGCCCCTGCAAGTTGACCTTTAACCTCTACACATACACTGTGACATGTGGATACCCAAAGACAAATGAACACAATTTATTAAAAGAACAATATGTCATAGGAGATAATTCACATTTTATGTTGTATCAGGGACCTAAACTGTTTATTTGAACTACTTTTTTGTCATTTGTAGTGAATTTACTTAGTAATCTTGATTTCAAAATAAAAAAATTTAAAGTTAGACTTTGTGGAGCTCTATGAACATACAGTTTCTTTTTTTGGTAGACAGCATTGAATGAGTGGGTCTGAGGTTACCTGGGTCTCTGTACTGCATATTTAGAAACCTGCCATTTAAATAAGGATCTTTGTATGTCTCTTAACTGTAATAATGAGTTAGGCCTGTGATTTTTATTTCTAAGGCTCTTACATTTCTTTTCCAGTTTTCTGTCTTTATATTGGACAAGAATTTAATAATACAGGGAAAATCACTCTCTTCCACAGACAAGCTCACAGTTATTTTGTCAATCCCAAGTGATCAGCCTTGGGCATATGTACATACGAGCAAAGCTAAATGGTCTCAGTAGGTTGTGTAACCACATGTTTGCGTGTGTGTGTGTGTGTGTGTGTGTGTGTGTGTGTGTGTGTGTGTGTGTATTACATGTAATGATAATAAAGATGAGATCATGAATTTTAGAAGATGGACACTGGAGGAGTTGAAGGATGGACAGAGAGAGATGGGAGTGATGCAGATACAGTGCTCCTGTATGTTCTCAAAAAATTAGTAAACAATAAAAATGGTGATACATAATCATTTTTGTGGAATACCCAGTTCTGACAATACATCCACAATACTTTAAATGTAACTTATACTTGTCATACTTAAATATTCATTAACTTTGATACTTTTTTAGTGACAAACTACTAACAGCATTTAGAACATGAAAAGGAGGTATATATGCTTAATATAGTTTAAATTTGAATAAAAGGCTATTTTTCATATTTATAAGAGTGAATTTCTTGTGTCATTCTATCTGTATTTATTGAGAATAGAACACAAAATCCACTTTAAAAAAGAATATTGAATATTTCTTTCTACAGCTCTTGGGATTGAACCCAGGACTTGGTGCATGCTGGGTAAGCTCTATACCATAAGGCTACATGTACAGCCTCCAGGTGAGGGAAGGGTTAATGGCGTTAAGGAAAAGTCTATTGCTTTTTCTCTAATTGCATGTAGCCCTTCACACCACCACTAACCCCACAGTACATTATATTCCTTTACTTGTATTGTTGGCCACTTGTACACAATCATTTTATAAAATAAGTTCCTAAATAACAGGATTGGTTTTTATGCATTGATGTATAAATGCAGTAGTAAACACTTTTGAATATAGAATGTCTGCAATGTGTAATCAATGAAAAGAACAGTTTTGTTCCCTTCTCCATTTAAGATTGTATAATTAGCTTTTCTTTCTCCAAATATACTCTAAACCTTTTAGAATCAAAATGGAAAGAATATCAGGATCATCTGGTAATTTAAATTCTTTCCAAAAAAGTACATTTATGCATTTGTGTATGTGTAAGAGAGGATAGATGGGTACACGTATCACAGTGGGCCTGTCGGGGTGAGTGGACAACTGTGTAGTTTCCAGGGTTTGAACTCAGTTGTCAAGCTTGGCTTGCTGAGCCCTCTCGTCAGCCCAAATTTCTAATTCTTTGAAGTTTTTCACCCTCCAAAAGTTTCTTGATTTCTGAACATAGATTACCTACTTGTTGGGTGTGCATGTAAGTTAAACAGAGAGAGAACATAGAAACTATGCGAACATACACCATACATGCAATAAATTATTGATACAGGGATGGGGAAACGTGCCGTGATGAACATATGGTGGTCAGAGGACAGCTTATGGGAGTTTGTTCTCTCCTCCCAACATGTGGGTTTTTGGTAATGGAACTCCAGTTTTTAGGCTTGGCTGCAAACGCCTTACCTTAGCGTCTCATAGGCCTTGGACAACTATTTTTTTTTTTTCAACTATGTTTATCGTAGTAAGTCTTCACTAGGTTTAGTAATAATACATTGTAACGTAAGCCACTTCCCCTAACTTACAAGTTGAACTTTCTTGCTGTGAACTGTCCTGTTCCATCAGAGTGAAATTGTGTGTGTATCTGCCAGTGCCACAAATAACTTTCCCTCTCTCATCTTAAACAGATTAGTTATTTTGGTCAAAATTATTCTTTTCTACTTAACAATACTTTTGGAGAGATTTGGCACCTGTCATTTTTGCCTTAAAATGAGTCTGTTTACTTTCTAAAGCTAACTTAAAATATTTACTTACTCATCTGTTAATTTCAGTTGTGTTCATATTTATATATTTTCCTTTTTCATTACATTGAAGTTGTTAGAGATATTTTAGCAGATGTGATTTTGTCATTGCTTGGGCACAGCCTTTTCTTTAGAAAGAATCATCTTTTGAACCATGTTACAGAATGCAAAGGCGTTTGTGAATCATAACACACCCAAAAATGCACTTACAAAAGTAGAAGTTGCACTTTACCTGGTAACGTCCCTTCACTTAAGCACTTAGTTAGACTGTGTTGCTCTCGCTTTAGCATGCCTTTGCTGCCCCTTTACGAACAGAATTATAATTCCAGCACTCAGGAGGCAGGTGGATCTCTGAGTTAGAGGCCAACCTGGTCTACAGAGCCAACCTGGTCTGCCAGGGCTACACAGAAACTCGGCCTCAAAAAAAAAAAAAAAAAAAAAAAGAAAAGAAAAGAAAGAAAAAAGAAAGTAAAAGAAAAAAACAGAATGGAATAGCCCTGGCATGTTAACATTTGTTTGAATTTAATATCCTCAGAATTTTATGAAAAAATTTAGGCAGTTACATTAGTTTCAGAGTGTTCTATGTTCATTTGTCTTTGAAATATTAGAAGTGTCATTTATGGGCTGATGAGATGGCTCTAGCGTAAGGTGCTTGTGACTGAATCTAGTGACCTGGATTTGATCCCTAGGATCATAAGCTGAAGGAGCAGTGAATTCCTGCAACTTTTCTGTTGATTACCCATGCACTGTGTGATATGTGTGTGTGGTGTGTGTGTGTGTGTGTGTGTGTGTGTGTGTGTGTGTGTGTGTGTGAAAACAAAAACTTGAAAGTATAATTTACCACTAAGTGTGTGCTGATTAAAAATAGCAGTGGTAGGTAGGGGATTTAGCTCAGTGGTAGAACACTTGCCTAGCAAGCGCAAGGCCCTGGGTTCGGTCCTCAGCTCTGGAAAAAAAATAGCAGTGGTAAGCTGGGTGTGGTGGTGCAGAGGTAGGTGGATCTCGAAGTTCAAGGCCAGCCTAGTTTACACAGTGAGTGCCAAGGGAGGCTGGACTATACACAGTGAGACACTGTCTCTGAAAAGAATGGGAGGTGGAGAGATGGCTCAGTGGTTGAGAGCCCCCTGTCTCCTTGCTCCTGCAGAGGACTTAAGTTCCATTCCCAGCACCCATATCAAGCTGTTCAAAGCTACCTGTAACTATAGCACCAAGGGATCTGATGCCTTAGGCCTCTGAGAGTACCAGCACTTGGGTCCATATATATAGCACTTGGGTCCATATACTCCCATCAGAGAGACAGCCATTTTAAAGTGATGACATTTGAGGATGGAAAAAAAATGTCACTGTCAGTATTTAAATGCTTTTCTGTTGACTGCTTTTCTTTTGTACTTTTAGATACTAGGCCTGAGCATGCTGTGCTCTAGATATATATTACTTTGTGTATGTTCTTTATATTTTATGTGTATGAGTGTTTTGCCTACGTGTATGTCTGTAGACTACTTGCATCCCTGTAGATCCCTTGCATGCCTTCAGAGGCTAGAAGATGTCACATCCCCATTCATTTGTGAATCACTGTGTGGATACTGGGAATCAAACTCGGGTTCTCTGAAGAGCATTTAGTGTACTTAACCTACTAAGCCATCTCTCTCTAGCCCCCTATTACTTTAGGTTTTTTATTGTAGTTTTTGCAGTGCTGTATAGAAGCACCTTAAAATTTTTGCTGGATGTGGTCTTGTCTGCCTAGGTTCCCAGTACTTCTCAGTATGATCTCTTGAGTCCAGGATTTTGATGCTGGACTGGGCAGCATAGCCAAACTCAAATCAACAACAAAACGAGCTGTGGTGGATAGGTTTCTGTTTCCTTGAATTTCTTTCATTTTACTCTTATTTATAGTGAGTGTATCTAAACATATGGTCTATAAACTTTTGTGGGTCTAGTAGATCATTTCAGGGTATCGGGAGGTCAGAATTATTGTCCCCATAATACTGAGGCATTTGTTGTTTCTAATGTGTAGTATGTATGTAGACATTTTCACAGTAGTAAGTAAATGTTTCCTATCCTTAAGGTTGTAGAACCAAAGTATACAAGTATTGTTCATTGCTATATGCTTGTAGTTAAAGAAAATGCTTCAGGGCCGGGCGGTGGTGGCACATGCCTTTAATCCCACCACTTGGGAGGCAGAGGCAGGCGGATCTCTGTGAGTTCAAGGCCAGTCTGGTCTAGAGAAGAAGATCCAGGAAAGGCGCAAAACTACACAGAGGGGAAAAAAAAGAAAAGAAAATATTTCAGATCTCACTTTTCACTAGTTTTTAAAAGATTTATTATCTTTTGAAATTATTGGTATATGTGGATATGTGCACATGAGTAAGGGTTGGTAGGCATTTGTAAATCCTCCAGCTTGGGTGCTGGGAACTGAACTTGGATTCTCAGCAAGAACAGTATATATGCTTTTAACTGCTGAGTCACCTCTCCAGCTCTCTTTTCACAAATTTTTGAGACACAAGAAAACTTAACCACTTTTTTTCATGAAATGCTTTTTACAACTGTCAAACGATGTCTATTAAACTTGGATTTTTGACAAACATCCTCAAAAGATTAATTAAAATGAACCTGTCATTTTCATTTTTGTTGTAATGAAAAATTTGAGCTTTTAAGCATTATCTGTAATTTTAAAATTCTAAGTGCAAAAACTAAGGAAAGCCAAGTGTTTAAAATGACTACCTAAAGAGCTGGTAGAGGGACGGATCCAGGATTTATGTTTACAAGCTTAGGCGTATCTTATGCACACATTAAAACTGGAAAGAATGCATGTGATTTCAGTAAATAAAAAGATTGCAGTTGAAGATTGAGTTCTCAAAATCTTCAACTTTTAATTTTCTCTTAGTTTAAGCAGTGGGTGTTAGCTGTTTGAATTTATTTAGAATTGCTACTATACTTATCATTGGTAATTATGTTAAATATATTTTTTCTCCCTCTGATCTTACTTTGTTTTTGTCCTCTTCTCCTCTTTCCTGTCTTCTTTTTCTTTTCTAGGTGGAGTCTTTCATTTTGGACCAGGATGATTTGGAGAATCCAATGCTGGAAACAGCTTCCAAGTTGCTCTTATCAGGCACTGCTGATGGTGCAGACCTCAGGACGGTAGATCCAGAGACACAGGCTAGACTGGAAGCTTTACTAGAAGCTGCAGGTATGTATGTCTTGTGCTCTTGATAGTCATGTCTTCCTTATTATCCATACCATAGCTCTTGCTACTGTAGTGTGTGCTCCTTTATTTCTTTGAAAAAACACATTAGGTAAGATTCATTGAAGTTTAATTACAGTGTTGTTGACTGAATTTATTGCTAATGAATAAACTATTGATATCTTTAATACATAATACACATGAAACTAGGTTATATATTAATGGAATATTCTAACCCAAGACTTGCAGTAGTTCTTCTTTGTCCTAGCAGCAGTGATTTAGTTCTCAGTTGCAGTTTGCAGCAACTTTATGATAATAATTGAATGCTTCGAATCCCCCAGTGTGCAATACAGGCTGTATACCTATATAAGTAAAGCAAATTGTTTTATTTTCTCCGTAAGAATATAATTTCAATTGGAGGATTTTACAAATAATTTTTTTCTTCCTCATTCTTTTATTTCTCTCCCTTATTCATTCTTTTCTAATAAAAAATTTCACACAAAAGCTTGAAATAGCATAGCAAACTCCAATTGTGATTTTTCAACTTTAATAAGCATCAGTACATGGGTAGACTTATTCTTTTTCATTTTTTATTCATCTTTTATTCATTACTCTTCTCTTGACATCCCCATGTCTTTAAATATAGATATGTACTTTGTTATTTCATATATGATTTCTTGCATATGTATCTCAAGGATTCCTTTAAAAATGGGGCCATAAAGACAGTCGAAAGGGGGAAAAAAGTAGAAATTTACTTTTAATGACTAAATATCCTGTCTGTTGGGAGAATTGATGAGTTATTTCATAGTCTAGGTTTTGCTTGATTAGATAGAGTAGCCAGTGCTCTTTAACTGTTGAGCCATCTCTCTAGCCCTAGAACACCTTTCTCAAGAAAGATGTATGAATGTGTGAGGTTTTTGTTGTTAATAGTTTTGCTTTATTTTTCCCTCATTTTACTTGTGAGGGGCAAAATTTTCTGAGATCTCAAGTGGAAATGTCTTACTGTGTTCATGCTTAATAGTTTATGCATTGAAGTTTAGTTTAAAAATAATTTCCTGCAGATTTTTGAAATTATTGCCCTATTGTCTTCTGCTCTTGTGTGTTGCAGTTGTGAATGGTTTCATTTTCTGCACCACTAGTTCCTAGTCTTTCCCAGAACTTGGTGGCATTTGAAAATTGGTTTTGTTTTAATTGCCTTGGCTTGTCTTTCCAGATTATCAAATTGTGTTTGACTGTGGTGATCTCTGAGTTCTGTTTATAGCCAATAGCAATGACATAAAAAGCGAAATTGGAAAGTGTACACATCTCTTTTGCCAACTGATACATTTCACTGTGAGGCATTCACTGGTTTCCTATTGCATTGTAGTTATTTTTTATACAGCCACAAGAAAAAGCACTCAAATGCCTTGTAATTTTTGTATCAGACACTAGATCATAGTGTGGCTGAAATCTCTTGCATTAAGATCTTGTAAACTGAAATCACCTGTGTTACGTTTGTACCTATCTGCTGTTGGGGAAGGTTCGCTTCCAAGCTCTTTGTGGACAATCAGTTGTATCTTCTCTTGCTTCCACATTCCTTGATGCACAGCTCCTCTCCATTTTTAAGCCAGTAAGGGCACGTAAAAATCTTTTTATTTCTTAAATTCCCTATCTTTGTTATCCCCAGGCAAAGAACTCTCTCTGCTTTTCATGAGTTTCTGATTGGGTTGGACCCACCAGGATAATCTGTTTGATATGCTTTAACTTTACAGTGACAGTAGATTTTATCTTAAGTGAAGTCTTAAGAGGTGGGTAAATAGGGACTGTAAAAGTGGAGTTAGTGACTAAGAGTGTAACAGGAATCTTAGGAGTTCTTATTAATAAAATCAAACCTGGAGCCAAGTATTGTGGTGAACACTGGAAGATCAGAGAGACAGAACAAGCCACAGCTAACCTCACCTGGTCAACTTCTCAGCTGATCTTGTTTTCTCAAACTGGAAGCCTCTGTGTCCTCATATCCGAATGGCTCTCAGCTGAACTGTGCTGCTCAAAACCTAAAAGCTTAACCAGCCAAATGCTTCTAGTTCCTGGTCCTCAGACCTTATATATCTTTGCCTTCTACCATCACTCCCTGGGATTAAAGGCTTGCTTTCTGGGATTAAAGGCGTGAGTCACCATGCCTGGCTGTTTCCAATGTGTCCTTGAACTCACAGAGATCCAGAGGGATTTCTGTCTCTGGAATGCTAGGATTAAAGGCGTGCATGCCACCATTTTCTAGCCTCTGTATCTAGTGGCTGTTCTGTTCTCTGACCCCAGATAAATTTATTAGGATGCACAATATTTTGGAGAACACAATACCACCACATAAGAGCACCTGTTGCTCTTGGAAATGACCAGGGTTTAGTTCCCAGCACCTAAGAAATGCCTCACAACCACTGTTAACTCCTGTTCCAGGGGACCTGACCCTATTTTCTGACCTCTTGTCATCATGCATGCACTTGATACACATACATGCTCACAGTCGAACACTTAAAAATACACGTAACAATAAATAAACTGACTGAAGGATAATATAAGTATGCCAGTGTTATCTAATTTGTTAGGAACATTTTAGTTTTCCTACCTGTGATTACATACAGACGTTTTTATTTCTTTGAGATTACCTAACATATTACTATGTAGGTCTTTCCTCTCAAATCTGCTGAATTTCTTGAGAGACATGTCTGCAAGTTTTAAGTCTTGTGAATAACAAGTCTGGCTGCTAACACTCTGTCTCTTAGGAACAAAAAGGAAGGAACCTGAGGATTGAATATGCAGCATGTTGGTGTTCACCTTCTCACCATCCATCCAATACTCCTCCTTTCTGTCTCCCCCTGTTCCTTGTCTCCTAGTTGAGGTCCTATCCCGTTTGGTTTTAGAGAGTCTATGGAGACTTGTACTTAATTGATTAGGTTCAGCTAGTGTCCCAGTTTCATGACCAAAGCCTTACAGTTTCTTTATCTAATTCTCAAGTCCTTACTTTATGATCTCCTTGTTTCTCATTGATAGCTGTTTCTGCTTAGTCTGTTCTGTTTACCTTACAATAGAACCTTAGATTTAAAGAGGTATCTTAGTTTTATCAAGGGTGGAATTCCTGTATTGCATTCTGCTTATTTTTATTAAGTTTTAAAAGGAAAGGGAGAAAAAAAAATCATTTACCCTTATCTTCAAATGAAACCTAGATGCTGTAATGCCTTCTCTATGTTAAGTCTTGTAGTCCTGTGATTAAATGTCTGAAGTTGGAAAGATTAATCTGGTTACACTATGCTCTTTGTATTTTTGGTTATTGCTGCTCGACATAAGATCACCATAATTTGCCATGGGTTATTTATCTTTTATTAATATTTTTGCTGCATCCTTATTATCCACTAAAATTGCTTTTGTGGGCATACATGGTGGTGGGTCCCTTCAGTCCTAGCAGTCTCTACATTCTGGTGGCTGAGGCTGAACAAAGATCAAAAGAAAGGAACTTGGGAGCTATTAGAAGTTCATGGATTAAAATGAACATTTTCTTCTGTTTTTATTTTTAAGTAATGACCATTCTCTGCTTGTCTGACTAGAATTTCTTATAGAGTTGACAACAGCCTGAGAAATGGTAGCTAATTCTCATTTGGAAATACACCAAATAGATCTCACTTGTGCTCCAATAGACTTCCGATTACAATTTGACTTTGAATATTAATGACACCAGTTGGACAGTAGGGTTTGATCTTAGCAGTGTTGTATTTAAAAAACAGCATGTGGTGGTGTTGGTGGGTTTGAGCCAAGGTGCCCCACAGCGGGTGAGGGAGACACGCCATGCAGACAGGGTTGGCTCTGTCCAAGGGGGGCCACGGTGGAAAGTCACTCACACCATGCCATGGTACTCATATGGAAAGTTTTGTTATTAAAGGGGGACGGGGAGAGGGAGAGAGGAGAGGAGAGAAGAGAAGAGGGAGGGTTTTTTTTTTTTCTTAAAAGGCACTTTACATAGGATGGTGTTGTCAGGACACTGGGAGGGGCAGGGGCAGGCCTGAGTGTTAACAAGCAGACCACGGCAGCCTTTATCATCTGGACATCTTGATTAGCAGAAATGAAATTTGGCCACTGAGAAGTTCTTATTATTTTTGAAATCATAGTTGCTTCTCAAATTTACCTTTAGTTTTATACAATACAGTAGTTGATAGAAGTTTTTGACAGAAAAGCTAGGCAAGTATAAACTTTCATCATAAGACTATGTAAGTATTGTGCCTTTCCCACTTTTATAAAATACTGTTATTTTACAGAAATGTTCATATTACCAAGTAGATGATCTTTGATCTCAAGTAGTTCTACAGTTAACAATAGCGTTTCCTTGCTAAATTTTAGTTTCCGTCTGAATTACTTGTCTGAAATATCTTTGGGCTTGAGATACTGTGTGTGTGTGTGTGTGTGTGTGTGTGTGTGTGTGTGTGTGTGTGTGTGTGTGTGTGTGTGTGTGTGTGTGTTGCACATGAGTGCAAGTGCCATAGAGGTCCGAAGAGGGTGTCAGATTCCCTGAAGCTGGAGTTACAGGTGTTTGTGAGCTGCCTGATAACTGGTAACAAAATCACGTCCTGGAAAAGTGTCAGGTGCTCTTAATCACTGAGCCATCTTTCCAATCCCAACACCCATGTCTTTAATAAGCACCACAGGTGATGCAGATGGATAATCTGGAATAAAATAATAATGAATATTAATCATGGTAAGCTTGCTTTATTAGAAATATATGGAAATGTAAGTATTATGTTCATTCAGATGTTTACTATTTTTACTTTTGTATTTCTTTTGCTATTTTGAATAATTTTAGAAGATTCTAAGTACATGTGGTAAGCATATGTAGTGAGTTTTTAAGAGGTGGTTATATGTAGATTATCTTTTTTATGCAGCCTGTATTCTACTCATCCATTTTCTTGAAGCAAAAGTAGACATTTACCAAAAATAGAGTGATGTTGCTGACACTTGTGGCGTCAGTGAGTCAAAAATGATTTTTCTAGAATTCTTTTTCTTTGTTTTGCTGTATATTGACTTTATTTTTGGAAGTCTTTCTGCCTGTGGTGATAAAAGTGACTAAATAGCTTATGACTCAATACCTACAGCTCAGTAACCTCTGAACATAAGTTGTTCTCCCAAAGACAGGACATGTTTCAGAGAAGTCTCCTATCTGTCCAGCACAGGCTAAAGACCCACATCTGACACCATAGTGTGTCAGATCATGTATCCAGGGACCATATGGTGTGGATAAAGTTTTTAGATTCGAGAAAAGTTATTTACCTCAAGATTATAGACAGATATTTCTATTATAGTATCTAAAGCTCAAGTTAACATGCAGATTTTAGTAACGTGAGTTTTGCTTTGTTTTCCTTTTGGGTATTTCCATATTGGTGTGAAAATAATACAATAGGAATAGGCAAGTTATCCACGGCCGATGGTAAAGCCTTTGCAGACCCTGAAGTACTCCGGAGGTTGACATCGTCTGTCAGCTGTGCGTTGGATGAAGCTGCTGCTGCACTTACGCGAATGAGAGCTGAAAGCACAGCAAATGCAGGGCAGTCGGACAAGTGAGTGCTTTTGTGTTGTGAGCCGTATAGCAGGGATTTTCCTAAGAGGGAAATAGTTTATGTTTATGTAGCTTTTTTGTGCCTCATACTATAGCCACTTAACACAGTACCTTTTTTGTACATAAAAAAACGAACCTTTTAAGTTGTGGATTTTTTTTTCCTTAATGTCAGTTGTATAAGCACACTGGGAGATGAATAGCTTAATGTAGCTCAAGAAGATGAGATGAACACCATTGTCTTATGCTGAAAGCCGTTGAGGACTGGAGTGGTAGCTCTTTGTTAAGACAGCTTGCTGCCTCTGCCCCCCCGCCCCCTCCCCAGGCACCTACCTAGTTGAGTTCCCAGCACCCATGGCTTAAAACTCATAAAAAAAACCTTTCACTTATTTATGTTGCTCTTATGTATTAGTGACAAAGAAGTCAGTGCTATTCTATCAACTGTATTTTTTTCAGTTCATATGTATGGTTTAGAATACAAGAATTTTGTTTCCTGAAGTTTTAAAAAATCATAAATCTTGTTTACATAATGTGAATGTTAGACCAAGAGACTTTATTTTTTGTCTCTCATAGTTCTTGTATATTTGATTTTAGTACTAATAAGGATTCAGTGTATTATAAGTAATATTTTAGATTTTTCTGGTGCTATATAATGAAAGTCATTTTTATATATAAAGTCTGGAGTGTGAACAGAGCATCTGAAGAGGTATCATTACTGTGTTACAGTTTTAGTCCTTACTGCCTTCTGCCTTCTTCCTCTGATTGGAAGTAAAGCTATGTGGGGAGATGGCACAGTGGGTAAAGTTGTTGCTGAGTAAGGATGAGGATGTGAGTATGACACAGGAAGTGGTGGAGACAGGAGACACGATCCTGTCTTACAGATAGGAATAGCACCTTGTCTAAACAAGGTAGAAGGACAGGACGGACACCTGAGGTGATTGTATGAGTAAATACTCTGCTAGTTACTCTACTGTTAACATTACATGCTCTCATCTTGTGTCTGATATTCTTTTACTTGATGGAAGAACTCAGATAGGCTTTCATAATTAGTAGGTGTCTTACCCATTTTATATTTTCTTAATGTCATAGAATTTCTAGCAATTGAACAAAAGCTTAATCTATAACATTTATGTTTGAATTTTTATAATTTCACTATTTGCTGTGAATTAGTTGTACATATCTGAAAACATTTTAGAATACTGGTTAATTTTAATTTAGAATGACATAAAAACAATACTTACATGATGCAGATCTTTATATCATCCTCTGAGATGACTCTGTTCTTCTTGCCATAGCCGCAGTTTGGCAGAGGCCTGTTCAGAAGGAGATGTAAATGCTGTGCGAAAATTACTCATTGAAGGTCGAAGTGTAAATGAACACACCGAGGAAGGGGAGAGCCTCCTTTGTTTAGCTTGTTCTGCTGGATACTATGAGCTTGCACAGGTTTGTGTTATAGAAATAAGCCTTTAAAACTACCATTTATTAGGAAAAGAATAAACCCTTTTGCCTGTTGAGCTAATTTCAATACAGACTTGTAGCATACAGCTTGTCTAGTTTATGATTCCTAGGAATCTTAATGCATATGGAGGTATTATATAAATAAATGTATTGAAAACTTTCAGAGTACTTTCTTAATACTCTATAAACTGTTTTCTTCTTTCTCCAGGTTTTGTTGGCAATGCATGCAAATGTGGAAGACAGGGGAATCAAAGGTGACATTACCCCTTTAATGGCTGCTGCTAATGGAGGACATGTCAAAATTGTGAAGTTGCTGCTAGCTCACAAAGCAGATGTCAATGCACAGTCTTCAACAGGTTATGCATACTTCCTTTTCAGTTTCATTAGCTAGTAGCATCCCTTTTAATAATTGTTTCTCATGAAGGTATTCACTTAAGTGTAGTTTGTTGTTTTTTCCTCTTAACTCTTTGTTCTTTGGGGGGCCCACCACCCAGCTCCAAAATAAAACACATGGAAACTTATTACTTCTTTTGAGTGCCTGGCCTTAGCATGGCTTATTACTAGCCAGCTTTATTTTTTTTTTCTTTATTAAGAAATTTTCTATTAATTTTACATACCAACCACAGATCCCCCCTCTCTTCCCTCTTCCTGCCCTTCCCCCTCCAGTCTTCCCTCCCCCAACTCATCCTCCATTCCTTCCTCTAAAAAGGTAAGGCCTCCCATGGGGAGTCAGTAGAGCCTGGTACATTCAGTTTAGGCAGGTCCAAGCCCCTCCCCCTGCATTAGTCTAGCCAGCTTTTCTTAAATTATCCCATCTACCTTGTGCCTCTAGGCTTTTATCTTTCTCTATTTCTTATATACCTTTCTTTACTTACTACTCCATGGCTTGCTGTGTAGCTGGCTGGCAGGCCCCTGGAGTTCTCCTCTCCTCCTTTTCTGGCTCTCCATCTCCCTTCACAGATTTCTCCTCCTATTTATTCTCTCTGTGTGTCAGCCCCACCTGTTCTTTCTCTGCTCA